TGGTTATACTTCCCTTTTGGGTGTTTAAGGACATACCATTGGACCAGATAAACTGATTTGTTTTCACTCTTGAGGTCGTTTGAGGATCTGTTCCTCAGGGGTCCCGTGGCCTTGGGAGGAGCCCCTGGCTAGGAGCATAACTTTTAAGAATGAATTGTGGCCCTCGTCTTTTTCCTTTCCTGCTTTCTACTTCCTGATCTCTGCAATTAAGCAACTTAGCTCTGCCATTTTCGCAGGCCCCTGTGATGTTCTCATCACAAGACTAAGGTGATGGTGCCAGCTGACTCATGATATAACCTCTAAAATTGTGATATAAAGTGCATCCTTCCTCCTATGTGGTTTATGTAGGGTGTATATTTTTTTTCACGGCAATGAGAGACTGACTAATATGGCATTGGAATTTAATGAGTATCCAAATTCACTTGGGCACTTTAAAGATAATTATTACTCTTACCTGCACCCCCCCCACACACATCACAGAGTAAATACACCCATATTTTATTTTTACTGATATTCCCCCCATCAGAGAAATATGAAAGAGAATAATTACATTAAAACATTTTGTTGGTCACTTATATACAAATCATTAACAAAATAGCAAATACTTAGAGTGAAAAGTAAAGACTGCCAGAAAGATTTTATTTTATCCTCTTTATCTGTAGTAGAGACAGTAGAAAAAATAGTATGGTCTGACACCAACCTTATTTTGGTATATGTTTCATTTTCTAAGTTTGTAGAAATGGAAGAAAGACACTTCAGTTTTTTATTCACAGAACACAGTATCTGATCGGTAGAATTGTTAATATGTGTAAACTTTAAAGTATTTAAAGTGGCTAATTGTCCTTAGTGACTCACACTAGATATAGCTAAATCTTTGTAATATTGGGTACAAAGTGAAATGTAAAGAGAATTTTTCCTTGTGGTATAAAATAAAGTGTGATTGCTTTATAGCAAAAGCTAAACTGTCAAAGTTACATAAAAGATCTGTTATAAACAAGTGCATTGATGTACAAATAGTGATTTTCAATAGGACATTCTTCTGCCTTTGATTAACTATTGTATAGGAATGTTTTAATTATATTTAAGATTAGTATTCATGTTCTAGAAAAGATAGTTGCCATTTTTAGTTGGAACAGTTCTAATGTTAAGAAAGAATTGCAACTCAGTTAATACACATAGAGGACTTAGATAATGTAACAGTTGGGTAAAAGGAAATAAAGCAGATCAAAGTTTTCAGTTTTTTGAACTGTTTTCTGAAGAATTCCTCTTTCATAATGAAGGTTTCACTACAAATGCCACATTACATATGAGTGGTATCTCAGACCTAGAAATATTTTATAGATGTAATGTAGACCATTAACATTGTTTGTTGGCATATCTACTTGGATAATAAACATATCAATTGTAATGTAAATAATTGAATTAATATTTCTTGAACTAAGCTCATGTGAATTATTTTGAAACCATTTTAGTAGATGAATAGGAAAGGATATGAAAAGAGACCACAGAAGAGTGAAAAATCCCAGCAACTGATAAGACAAAGAGCAAGAAAAGATGACCCAATAATCTCCAGGATTTTCCTTAAAAGAAGAACTATTTTTTTTTGTATAGGGCCTTGGAAACATGGTACTTTCTAGAAAGCTCTCACCACTGAGATATCTCTTCAGGAAAATAAGAAATACAAGTCATGAAATCATGATTAAGCATTAATAGATTGTTTATACTGTAAATGGTAATATGAAATTATAGTGTGTGTTGCAAAATTAGAATGTTAAAACACTTCAATTGGGTTTGTAAAATGACTCAGCTGGTAAAGGTACTGGCCACAGGATCTGACAAACTGATTTTGATCCCTGTGATCTACATGGTAGTAGGAGAAAACCAGCTTCTACAAGCTGTTCTCCAACTTCCATATTGTTTATACTGTAAATGGTAATATGAAATTATAGTGTGTGTTGCAAAATTAGAATGTTAAAACACTTCAATTGGGTTTGTAAAATGACTCAGCTGGTAAAGGTACTGGCCACAGGATCTGACAAACTGATTTTGATCCCTGTGATCTACATGGTAGTAGGAGAAAACCAGCTTCTACAAGCTGTTCTCCAACTTCCAAATAGTGATGATTTTGGTTGTTATATTTTGAGAAAAATATGACAAAAACACATATATATATATATTTATCGGACACATCTGCAATTTCATGTACTACATCTCAGAATTTTTCCTAAAGAAGATGAACTTGTTAAAAGAAATAATACAATTATAAATTATATTTTATATATTTTTTTGTCTTTTTGAGAAAGAGTGTCCCTATTGCCCAGGTGGCTTGAAACTCACTATGTTGACCAGGTTGGCCTCCATCTTACAGAGATCTGCCAGTCTTTGCCACTTGAGTTTGGGGACTAAGGGTGTGAACCACTGTGCTGGCCATTTAATAATTTTTTAGCCACCAGAAATTGGAAATAATTTCACACTGCAAAACATTATTTACACAGTTTTGTTTATAAAATTTAATACTGCATGGATTAATAAATATTAGAACAGCATATGATGTGTTATGAAAAAAATGTACATTATGTGAACTTTAGTTAAATATAACAGTAAGCCCTGTACATTAACAACTATGGACATACCATTTGTATGAGAAAAATTATGAAGTGCAGTACACAGATTTGTGCACTCAACGATATTTTTATTTTCCTAATTACATTTTAAAATTGTTATTATGTTAAGCACATGTAAAAATAAAGCTATAAACACTTTTAATTACTTAATTTGACCATTAAGAGAGAACTTCAACCAAGAATGTAACATTTTAAACAAATTGGCAAGTTTTTTTTTTTAAAGATGACAAATGACAATATAGATGTTTATGAAAGCATGCAAGATTTAACACTATCAATACATGTGTATATAGTTTATATACAGTACTGCAATAGGCTTCAAAAGTTTCAGCTAGGTTTGGGGGAAGACTCTGGTTAAAGCATTTGCCCCATAAGCATGAAGACCAGAGTTCAGGGTCATGGATGTTGTGGCATACCTCTAATTCTTGCATAGATTTCCCAGAGCAAGCTGATTAGGAAGACTAGCCCTATTTGCCTTCTCTTGATTTGAATGAGAGACCCTCTCTGCCCCATTCAGTAAAGTGAAAGAGTGATCAAGGATGATCCAGGATATCAACTTTTAATATGCACCACACACATTTTCACCCATACACTCCCCCATACAGGTGCCCCACACATTTACCATACACAATCATATAAAAATGGATAAATTTAGAATAGTTTCACAACTTCGATTTAGGAATTCCACTTTCACATATTTATCTTACAAATAGTATCAATGTAGATCAGTGCATATATAATTAAATATAATCAGAATGATAGAAAAATAGAAAATAAATTTAATACTTAAGAACAAGAAATTGAGTAGAGAAATCATGATTATACAAATATGGAAAAGGATCCAGTTTCTGAACTTTACATAACAGAAGATACTATAAATGTAATGTTAAATAAAAAATATGAAGGACATTTGGGTACAAACACCTGAATGAATAGTACTCAGCATGTATGGCAAGTGCATAGGGTTCAGTGTGGGGAGAGGGGGAGGCATGGATGAGGGATGGGGTCTAGATTTGAGTGAGCAATGTTGTATGAAATTTGAAAATCTCAATAAAAAATGAAAAAATAAATTAAAAATTAAAAACATAATTTTAAATCAGAATTATAGTATGGTTTTGCTCTCACAGTGTTAATATTTTATTTGGTTCACTTTGTTCACTCTGTGTTTTGCACGTGCTTTAAGTAAACTTTGAAATGAATATATATACTAATTAGAATATATGCATACTTATATGAAGTTATATATTAGTATCTTATGAAATGTTATAGCTTAGTGTAGTCTATTTTTTCTTTGTACTTTTATTTATTTTGAACATATTAGAAAAGATCATTTATGGCATTGATCAAAAGGAGAAATGATTTAAAAATAAAACTAAAATAATCATTTCTAACAAAAAGAACATCAATATATATGTATAGAAAATATATGTAAATTGTCTGACATAAAATATACTTCAATAAAAAGCATTGTTAAATCACTCATTCACTATCCTGAATATGAGCAATGCTTTAATTATATACAGTCAAGCTCAACCCTAGGAATTTAAGTTAGATAAACGATCCCATCCTGAGACACTAAGCAACTTTTAGGCACTTCAGAAATGCTATTGATATTAATACTAGCCCGGCATCGTAGTGCAGATTGAACAACATTGGAAAAGATGTGACTGCAGTGTCATAAGTGTTCCATAAATGTTAACAATCACTTTTATTAAATTAGGACAACTGACTGTGGGACAAACTTCCCTGCGGTGAAATGGCTTTGTCAGTGGTGTTTAATGTAACTAAAGCCTTGCCTTGTTCACAGTCAGCAATGAAGCTGACTCCCCTCAAATGTGACTACTGACAGGCAGAGTGCTCAGTCCCTCTTTCCTTGTATCCACCACACCTTCTGTTTTCTTTCCCCATAAACGCTGCCCTTACCTTTTCACATTTAAGTTCATTTTACTTGAGTTTAGTTCAAATATGAATGCTTTCACTAAGAGAAATGCTTAATATTTAAAATGGAGTTATGGCAGGTAAAGGGGATAGAAGTCTGATTTAATTATAATTAAATCACCATAGCAGAAAAAAAAAAACTTTCTTGTTTGTTTGTTGTTTATAACGAAAAAAAAAAAGACTGGGGCTGGCTCTGTATTTCAAAATTCAGATTATTTGACATTCTAAAATAAGGCTGACACTTCATGAAATCCATCTTGTGGTGTACCAACACTGGGTCTCCTGACACATGATCAAATAAATAAGACAAGAATTTCCTTTTGATGAAGCGTAATTACACTTAGCAGTAAGAATGTCTTCCAGGTAGTAGAGTCTGTTGAAAGTATTGTTTAGAGTTTAAGCTTTGTCCATAATTTAAAAGGTTAAGATTCTTGCACATACATACATACATACATACATACATACATACATACAAACATCAAAAGATGGGCCAAATGAAATACACAGTGACAATCAAGGGAAATATTTAAGACATGTTAAGCCTTAAATTATAGAAAATGCTGAAGTGTTTTCTGAAATATTATAAAATTTAGTGTTCCATTTAGTTCTGGGTTAGTTAAAAGTTATCTTTAAAGTTTACTATGACCTTGATATAAAATATAAACCAGGTAAACATATCACATATTGTTACTCATTAAAATATATCTGCACATGTGATCCTCTTTAGTGTTCAGTGAAAACTTATTTAAGACAATTACAAGAATTCAGTGCTCTCTTTCTGCTCTTTTCTGTGCTCCATGCCAAATGTAGGAGTTATAACTTTTTAATGCAAATCTGTTATATAAATTATTCATGGATGATTACAAATTTAAATTATATATTTACCCTCAGAGAAGTACAAAATATAGTTAAATCTCTATTACAAATTATTCTTATTATAGATCTTCCAATTGTACATGAATTGGTTTTTAGGCAGAGATTCTTAAAATCCTTCTCTGAAAGATTTTTGTGGTGCCTAAAGGCAACACTCCTTAAAAATCACTTTACTTTGTGAAGATTTTACTGAAGCTACTAACAAAAATCTTTAAAATATGTTATTATGACTTGCAGTCTAGTAATTAAGTCAATAAAATAAACATAAATTCATCTTGAATTAGAACTACTTATAAAAAACAGTTCACTGCTAAGTTTGAAGGATTTCATTACTTCTCTGGGCAATTCAAAGGAAAGATTTCATCATTCACTCTGTGAAACGATTTCTAGTTTCATTACCTCTATGGATACTATTATTTAACAATTTGTTTTATAGCTGTACAATGTGGCAACCCAGGAACAACAGCCAATGGGAAAGTCTTTCGAATTGATGGCACAACATTTTCCAGTTCTGTTGTCTATTCCTGCGTGGATGGCTACATCCTTTCTGGACCCTCTGTTAGACAATGCACAGCCAATGGAACATGGTCTGGAACTTTACCCAACTGTACAAGTAAGTTTTTTTCTTAATATTTAAAAGGTGTTATCCTTGCAAAACTATTTATGAATCTAGAAAGGTGTGTTGTCAGGTTCTGAATATATGTAAAGTCTTTGAGAGTAAAATATAGTTAGAGGCTGGAGACATTCCTCAGTGGTTAAGAACACATGCTGCTCTTGCAGAGGACAAATTTTGGGTTCCCAGCACCCACCTGAAAACTAACAGCACTCCTGAATGCAGTTAAACACATGTAGGCAAAACACACACATGAAATAAAAAATAAGTGTAAAAAAATTTTAAAGTATAGAATTATGATTAAATTGTACACTAGTGACTTTAATGATTAGTAGTCTTACTAAGGTACTGTATTGGTTGAGTAAAGGAAGAAAAATAAAAGAATATCAGTCATCTTTAAGGTAGTATAATAGAAGTTCATGAGTAATAATTATCAGTTTATTAGATTAAAATTATAATGGATACAATTTTACGTTTTCCAATTTAACTCATACCAATAACCATCTTGATGTTTAACAGAAAAAGGCACAGTAATTATTTTTATGTTCTTACATAGAATAGGAAGTCCTTTACTTGATGTGCTATATATCAGTTCTGATAACTGATTTAATATGACAGTTTCTTAAAATTATACACATTAATGTCGATGTCAGGAATAAAATATTTATTGTTCAGTGGTACAGTTATTGCCTAGCATATTTGGAAGCCTTGGACTTTATTCTCAGCACTGCCGAAGGAAGTGAGAGAGTGAGGGGAGAGAGGGAGGAAGGAAGGGAGGAAGAAAAGAAAGAAAAAGATGGAGGTAGGTAAGGAAAGGAGGATGGAAGGAAGAGAAAAATATAGAAGGAAAAAATGAAGGGAGGAAGGAAGGAAGGAAGGAAGGAAGGAAGATGGAAGGAAGGCCAGCAAACATTTAATCTATACATACCTTGAAAAGCTATGTTTGCCTACTTCTTATTAAGAACAACAGTGTCAGTACACATTTTTTTTTTTGTAACAAATATATCATAAAGGTAGAATGTTGATAGTGGAGGGAGGTTGCTTATTGGGGTCAGGAAAGTTTATAGAAATTGCCCATTTTGAGCTCTTTTAAATAAACTTACTGATACTTTGCTCTCTATCTCCAGATATTTCCTCGTACCCTGCCTAAAAGACCCAGTCTGTATGTCCCTGTTAATTACAAAATCCTTCTTCTCAACTCAGGGGTCTGTTGGCTCTGTACAGGTTTCTGGCCACCCCTTGCCACAGCTTGGAACATTCAGAATGCAGAGGCAAAAGACAATCATAGCACATGCCTAACTCTTCCCCAGCATTTAAAGATTATTAATCTTGTTGCCTGATGTCATTACTTCAAAATTACATCCTTTTTTGTCCCTTTGGTTGATTTAAAATGAAGGATAAATTATCTCTGCAATTCCGTCTTTAAGGAAAGCAAAAGTCTTCTTAGTTGTCTTAAAAATGTCTCATCCTCATTATTTGAACAATAACTAACTATGCTTTAATATTTTAATACTTTCATTGTTGTATCTGAGCCGTTGAAACTTTTATCAGCCTATAGGTTAAAAGATTTGGCAAAATAGGTTCTTAGCACCTTCCTCCTCACAGGCTGTGTAGTTAAAAGACATCTTCCTCTCTTGCCCATCTCTTCAATTGTGATTATCTATGGAAATGGGCCGTAAGCTTTACAGGGCTGTAGCAACTCCCTCCCCTGATGTTTTAGGATTCCACACAGCAACCGATGCCTAAGAGTGGCTCAGTGTATAGTGCTCAGCTGTTCTAAATATATGAATTTTATTTTAGCTGTCAGTATACATGATTTACTTTCCCATGTACTTTAAGCCACTTGTCCTTTGTGCCTATAATTTTATTGATAAAATAACACACATGTTCTTGTCTATAGGGTATTTTCAATACATATTTATCAAAGACTGAAATAATGAGGATAGGGTAATCAAATAGAAGGAATCCATTGTGTAACACATTCTTTTTTCCAAAGTGAATAATGACCATTAATTCATAAATAAGCACCTCAATCTTCTCTATAAAAATGTTTTCCAATTTTAGTAAAAATAAGAAACATCCCAATTCTTGTGATTGAAATATGCATCGAATATTTTAAAACATATGACGGTCCTTTAACCTCAAGCATCTTTAATAAAGATGAAAAATTGTAAAGATAGACATGACAAACACTATACCAAAGCTTCATAGTTCTAAATTTTTATTACACATTTATTATTTATTATATATTTGTTATTTAATATGTATTTATTATACTTTTCATTTTCATTTATTTAGAGAAATATTGTGCTGAGCAATGTAATTCAAGTCTTTTTGTAACAGTTTGATGATTGCATAGACAAATATATGACTAAGTCACTAATAATAACTTAAATCATAAACAAAAGTACCCTCAAGTTATACTTCACGGAAGTTCCACTCTGAGAAACCAGTGAGTTTATTGTACTGAACTTCAAAGCATGAGTTTGCATTGCATAGGTTGTTTACAGGAGCTGGGGGACCTCAACGCAGCTGTATTGCGAAGTGGTCAACCAATATGAAGGATGACATCTCTATAGCCCCGTAGATGGGCTTTCACATCAGTCAACCTTCTCTGGCATCTATACTGCTTACTCTGTATACTCTAGCACTTCCCTAGACCACAAGGTAGCATGCATTTAGAGCAGAGTTACATACAAAGGCCTGAGAGTTGCAAAAAGGAGCCACCTGTATTTCAGGTAAGGATCCAATGATCCACCCCAGCACTTCTTTCTATAAAGGAGTGCCAACAGTCAACAGGCTCAATCTTGGTGGTCACTTGAAAGCAAACACAGCTGAGCTGATGAAGACAGTGACTGGCTGAGGAGTCTGAGACCAAAGTGTCAGGACATTCTCAATCTAGGGACAGCTGCTTGCTCCTTCTATTATGGCACCCTGTGTTTTTGCTTAGCAATAAATACAAAAAACAAAAAGAGTTCTACCTAGCCCTTCCCACTCTTGTCACATGGTTCAAGTTCCATCCATGAGGGCAAAGTCCTCACAGACTAATTCCTAAAATCCACATCTCTTAATAGTATTGCTTTGGGGATTAAATTTCAACAGGAATTTTACAAGGAACTAAGCATTCAAATGCACGCACATATACATGCACACATAAGTTTAATTTTTCTTTCCATTCTAATTAATCTTGTATGTACTCATAAGTAGTAGTAGCTGTCATTGAGTGTTTAACCACTTAAAATTTGTGCAGAATGCTTTAAATATTTCTTCTACTTAATTATCACAACAAATTTATGAAAAAGTATAACATTCTAATTTCTATTTCACATTGGAAACTGTATCTTGGAGAGAAAACATAACTTTTTTTTGCCATGGTAACACAATAAATACAGTAGCTAAGGTTGATTTTCTCTGTATAATTCAAGAAGCAATGTTCTGGAGTTTCTTTCTGTCCCCAGATTTTGTGGTATTCCTCTGTGTTGTTGGCTTGCTTTAGTCTCTTTCTTCTTTATAATAGTGGAGAATACATGGAATGCTACAATGATAGAACCACTCTAATACAGCACCAAAAAAAAAATCACATTAATTTGTAGCCCATTTGTCTCAAAATTTTCTAATAACTATTTTTTTTCTGAATGTTACAATTTGAATTTCACAAAATTATACCATTTCTTGCTTAATGAATGTGTAAAATGTTGTTTTGTACAACAATCCGCCCTCACAATTCTTTGTGTCTATTACCAAACATGATTTTGTATATCAAGCAAATACAATGTGAACCAACTATAAAGTTACAAATCATGAAAGAGATGAAAGATTTTAGAATATTGACTCAATGGAAATATGCTAGTGCACTGTTAAGTATAGACACAATTATTGGTAAGGAGATTTGGTAGAATTAGGACACTGCAGATTGAAAGACAAATGTCAGTAAGACAGATATTGAAGCTGATTGCCTGTATATGAAAGCATTAATAGTAACTCTTGGAAAAATAAATAAAACACTTGAAATGTCTTTGTTGATTTATCTTATTCCAATAGTGTGGTGACAATAAAATATAAATTATTGAATTCTATTTGTATTTATTTCACTTTTATTTTGGATAATGTGAGAGCTTTTATCTCTCTAGTGATTATCCTTGGGAAAGCAAAACCCTTTACCTACTAAAATCAGAGAAATAATCCACTTTTTAGCATATTTTTTATTTTCCAATTTTTGAAATTTTATTTTATTTTTGAGAATTTTATATGTGAGTATTGTTTTTCCATTACTTCTATCCCTCCCAGTCCCTCCAACTCCTCCCATGTACCCCCCACTCCCTCTTAATTTCTTGTTTTCTTCTCTACCATTGTTATACATACATCCAAATATTTAAAATATACATATATATCTGAACAAAGTTCTTAAAAGAAGAAATAAAAATTGCTAAGAAATACCTTAAAAACTGTTCAGCATTCTTATTAAGTAAATACAAATTAAAACTAATATAAAATTTCATCTTACCCTAGTCAGAATGGTTAAGATGAAGAAAACAAATGACAACAAATACTGGTGAGGATGTGGGGAAAGAGAAACCCTTATTCACTGCTGGTGGGATTGCTTTAAATTTATGCTGAAATGGTTTTACCAAGAAAAAAACTTGAATAAGAAATCTATAAAGAACTGTTAGCAATATTTCCTACGGATTTGACTACTAGAAACCATTTGTACACAACACGGTATCATTGGGCATTTTTTCAGGAACTGACAATAAAAAGTTCGATGGTAAAATTTCCTACTGTTTATTTCGCTAGTAACATGGTCATCCAGCTATTTTTCCATTTGAGACTGTCTGCTTGTGTGGCTTTACAAATATTCCATAATTTCTTGCCTGTCAAACAGCAAACACACACACACACACACACACACACACACACACACCTTTGTTATATCTTAAGAATCCCAGTTTACTGTCATGGAGATGTTAGCTGTAAATTGCTCTTTTCATCTGAATGATATT